AATCGACGACAAAATATATACATGGAAAGATTCACATCGTTGTTGTTTCAAACAAAAGGTTGAAAAGCACTTTGAAGTAAAATTTCTCCATATTAAAGGATTCTAATTAATGAATTTCCAATAAGTATTTTTGAATCGTTGTAACTTTAAAATTACTAGACGTTTTTATGCCCCGCATTCAATATGTTGGGATTATAATTATACGTTTGGTGTTTTCCATCCGTCAGTGATGGTCTGTCCGCTCGCTCGTTGGTTCATTCCACCCAAATTCGTTATGAGGATTAAAAAAATGGTTACATAGTAGATATAAAAATAAGCAAACTATCATCCAGTTGTATAAATCATTTGGATGGCTGATTAACTTTTTTCAGTTATTTTCTTGAACTTTACGCGAGTGGGAGCTGAGTTACTTCAGATGTCCTTCCTTATTCATGTCTAAATTTTAGGTATTCGACAACAACACCCAGATTCTCCACAATTCTAATATGATAAATCAGAGTAACTTAAACTTTCCGATCTGGTCTAATAACATAAAGATCTCCGTGTTGCTCTGAAGATTGAATTTATATGAAAGGTTATAAGATATAATGTCTTGTTATGACTGTGCTGTACGCAATGAGAGGAAATACACTCGGGATGCTGATTTTCATATTATATTTGGCTAACGATACAATTTAATTCAGCACAGAAGGGATCGCTAAGCTTGATCAAATTTTCCTCTTTTACAATAAATGACGGGACTTACTGGTAGTGAACTGCCCACTCAACGCTGCTGACGGAAAAAATATTCATAAACTCTTGCAATGTTTTTGAATTTCTGTAGACCAGTGAAGATCTCTTGTAGATGATAAAACTCTCGTCAATGTGCCTCCACTGGGTGTTTTGCTCTTTTATTATCTTTAAGCTCTTCAATTAAAGTGATTGATGAGATGAATTGAAAAGCCATTTGTTAGTACTTGTTGGATCTCCTGAAATGCCTACAGAGAAATACTGATATATCCATAAATTACATAATACAGTACTGTGATATATATAGCAAGTGACAAGTGAACTAAACATGGCTTCAGTAGACCAAACACCCTCATAGGGCCATTACGATTATAGGTCATTGAAGCCAAAGCCATTTTTCAGTAAAAAAAGGAAACCGCGTTGTCAACAGTCCCGTCGACCATCGTCACTTCCCCGATTGTGCAGTTACGTACCCATTCACAGCTGGGTGTACTGGTGGTGCACAGATGCGAAATATCTACACTTAAGTAAACAATTTTGCATCTACTTGGCCGCCGCACCGCAAAATGTCAAGGGTTACTTATTAATGAATTTAATCTTCAAATACGAAAATCAGATGTTTATGGATAAGGATGTGAGTCTAGTATGTAGGAGGCATTTTCTGTCTTTATATAAATTTTAGTATTTTGGCAGAAGGTGGGAAAGTTTCAATAGTAATTATCTCCGTTAGGACTATTTCGGGTCATGAGTCTACATGACACCTTTATACAGTACAGTCATAAGTTAGGCAGCCTGACCCCTCTTTTCCCAAGTCTCTACTTTCGGGTAAATTTAATTTCAAGAACTACATCATAAATGTTAGAAATACTTCATATTTTTCTGTTCATGTTTATTTACATAGCAATATATGGCATTTTCTGTTATTCTCAATAAATATCATCAGAGTCGAGTTTATTTAGCTCTTTCTCATCTAGGCGTAGGGAGCTGGGGTGTAGGAGGGCCGGGGTGTTTGGTACTGGGCCTCACCCTCGTAGGTCACCTCGGCCACGTACCCGGAGTCGCCGTTGACATTGTAAGCGACCCTCTGCAGGCGACCGTCGGGAAGTAGCACGTAGTAGGAGCCCTGGGTGTTCTCACCGTCACGGGACTCCTGGTGGCCGAAGTCGTTGCCTGAAAGGTCGTCCTTCACTGCCCAGTTGAAGTCGTACTGGGCAGGAGCCTGAAACAATGTTTTTTTTTGTTATGCCACTTAAGCGGCCACAACCATATTGATCAATTACACATACATGTTAATATTGTAACGTCAACTACTTGGTGTTTTCATGGTGAAACACGGACAGGTGGGCAGTACTCACCACAGGAGAGGGGGCGCCATAGCCGGCTGTGGGAGCGTTGTAGGTAGGGGGAGAGTCAGGGCGGGCCAAAGTGGCTACGACAACAGCTACCAAAACCAAAGCCTGTAAGAGTTTTTCAGTGTGGATGATTTATAACTCATGTAGAAGTAAGAAGTATATGCGTTATATAAGTTACACATGATAAAATATAAAGCCTTAATATTTGACTATGTGAAGAGCCAATATTCCTTAAACTGCTGAAGACAATACCTTGAAATACATGTTTGTTATTGAAGAGGAGTCGAACTGATGTTCACGAAGGGATGCGTCGAGTTTATATACTCCAGGCTCCACCTTTTGTGCCGTGACGTCATAACCTTGAGAGGGAAAAGGGGATGATGATCCACACTCACGACCAGCGGGGAAATATTTTACTACATTCATTACTTATATTATTAGTATTACTTCCACCGGTGCTGCTTCTATTATTACAACAACAACAACAACTACTACTACTACTACTACTACTACTACTTTTTTATGGCCTCCAGCCTCCCCCAATAGCCACACCTTCGCCGCCATTTTGTTACCTTAATATTAAATATCCTAATATATAAGTAGCTATCCTAGCTGTGTTGAGTTAGTTGAACCGCAGATCTATGCGGCATTCAGTTACTGTTGCCTCATAGTCAATATCTGCAACTGTTGTCTGCTTTGGGGGCGATGTTCTCGTTCCCCTGAGGCAGAGCAAAGGCTACTTCTATTACTTCTACTACTACTATTACTACTACTACTACTACTACTACTACTACTACTACTACTACTACTACTACTACTACTACTACTGCCTTCACCATAATTATGTGTAGTTGGCAGTCAGTAACTTTTCTCAAGATGATAAAAAATTCCTTTATTCTTCAAATAGAATTTTCGTCCTATCGTTGCTGTTTTCGTTATGAAAAGGAATTATGGAAATAACTTTATTTTTTCTAAAGATAAATTGCAAAGAATAAATGAAAAAATAATGTCGAAAGATACGGTAAAAATGTCGCCACCTGTAAACAACTGCTATTATTTTCTGAAGTGAGCTCCACCACCATGGACTAAACACATGTCAGGAGGTGCCAACTTTACCAGAAACCTCATATTGAGTTTAATTTTTTTCGTGTATTGTTTCATTAATGTTGACACGCTCATAGTTTGTTCGTCACTGGACCTCGTCATATACGCAGTGAAATGGGATCAGTTTCCTTCATAACCAAATTGACGACAAAATATATACATGGAAAGGTTCACATCGTTGTTGTTTCAAACAAAAGGTTGAAAAGCACTTTGAAGTAAAATTTCTCCATATTTAAGGATTCTAATAAATGAATTTCCAATAAGTATTTTTGAATCATTGTAACTTTAAAATTACTAGACGTTTTTATGCCCCGCATTCAATATATTGGGATTATAATTATACGTTTGGTGTTTTCCATCCGTCAGTGATGGTCTGTCCGCTCGCTCGTTGGTTCATTCCCCCCAAATTCGTTATGAGGATTAAAAAAATGGTTACATAGTAGATATAAAAATAAGCAAACTATCATCCAGTTGTATAAATCATTTGGATGGCTGATTAACTTTTTTCAGTTATTTTCTTGAACTTTACGCGAGTGGGAGCTGAGTTACTTCAGATGTCCTTCCTTATTCATGTCTAAATTTTAGGTATTCGACAACAACACCCAGATTCTCCACAATTCTAATATGATAAATCAGAGTAACTTAAACTTTCCGATCTGGTCTAATAACATAAAGATCTCCGTGTTGCTCTGAAGATTGAATTTATATGAAAGGTTATAAGATATAATGTCTTGTTATGATTGTGCTGTACGCAATGAGAGGAAATACACAATTCTCACTACTTATTGTACTGTATAATTGACAAAAAGTCTTAACAGATTAACTTCCCTTTCACTACGGGGATGTTGATTTTCATATTATATTTGGCTAACGTCAGACAATATAATTCAGCACAGAAGGGATCGCTGAGCTAAACCAAATTTTCCTCATTTGCAATAAATGACGGGACGTACTGCCAATGAACTGCCCACTTAACACTGCAGACTGAGCAAATATATAAGCTCTTGCAATGTTTTTTAGTTTCTGTGGATTGGTGAAGATCTCTTGTAGATGATAAAATTCTCGCCAATGTTTCCTCTACTGCGTGTTTTGCTCACTTATATCATTTTAACGTTTTTCAATTGAAGTGATTGATGAGATGAATTGAAAACCCATTTGCTAGTACTTGAAGGAAACTCTTGAAATTCCAACACATTAATTCTGATGTATCCATAAATTACATAATACGGTACTGTGACATATACAGCAAGTGACAAGTGAACTAAAAATGGCTTCCATAGACCTAACTCCCTGGTAGGGCCATTACGAACACGGGACATTGAGGCCAAATCCATTTTTCAGTAAAAAGGAAGTAGTGTTGTTGGCAGTCAGGTCGACCATCGTCACTTCTCCGACTGCACGATTGCATACCCATTCACAGCTGGGTATACTTGTGGTGCACATATGCGAAATATCTACACTTAAGTGAACAGCAATTCTGTATTTACTGGGCTGCCGCACCTTAAAATGCCATGAGTTACTTATTAATGAATTATCTGACACGAAAATCATATGGTTATGGGACGAGGAATGTGAGTCTAGTATGTAGTAGGCATTTTATGTCTCTTTATATAAATTTAAGTATTTTGACGGAAAGTAGGAACATTACAATAATAATTATCTCCCTTAGGACTATTTCTGGTCATGAATCTACAGTACATGACACCTTTATACAGTATAGTCATGATTTAGGCAGCCTGACCCTCTTTTCCCCGGTGTCCTTTTTTGGTAATTTTCATTGCAAGAACTACATAAAAATGTTAGAAATACTTCATATTTTTCTGTTCATGTTTATTTACAAGGCAATATATGGCATATTCTGTTATTCTCAATAAATATTATCAGTATCGAGTTTATTTAGATTTTTCTCATTTAGGCGTAGGGAGCTGGGGTGTAGGAGGGCCGGGGTGTTTGGTACTGGGCCTCACCCTCGTAGGTCACCTCGGCCACGTACCCGGAGTCGCCGTTGACAGTGTAAGCGACCCTCTGCAGGCGACCGTCGGGAAGCAGCACGTAGTAGGAGCCCTGGGTGTTCTCACCGTCACGGGACTCCTGGTGGCCAAAATCGTTGCCTGAGAGGTCGTCCTTCACGGCCCAGTTGAAGTCGTACTTGGCAGGACCCTGAAATAATTTTGTGCTTATTTGTTATGTCACTTAAGCTGCCACAGCCTTATTCATCTGTTACATATGCATGATAATAATGTCAGCCACCTGGTGTGTTGATGGTATGAACACAGACAAGTGGGCAGTACTCACCACAGGAGCGGGGGCGCCGTAGCCGGTTGTGGGAGCGTTGTAGGTAGGGGGAGAGTCAGGGTGGGCCAAAGTGGCTACCACAACAGCAGCCAAAACCAAAGCCTGTAAGAGTTTTTCAGTGTGGATGATTTATAACTCATGTAGAAGTAAGAAGTATATCCTTTATATAAGTTACACATGAAAAAATATATAACCTTAATATTTGACTATGTGAAGAGCCAATATTCCTTAAACTGCAGCAGGCAATACCTTGAAAGACATGTTTGTTGTTGAAGAGGAGTCGAAGTGATGCTCACGAAGGGATGCGTCGAGTTTATATACTCCAGGCTCCACCCTTTGTGCTGTGACGTCATAACCTTGAGAGGGAAAAGGGGATGATCCACACTCATGACCAGCGGGGAAGTCATCTCCTCCACGTACGTGACTTATAGTAAGATTTAAACAAAATGAAGAACACAAATTACATTAAAATGCATTTTATACACCAGCACAACTACTACTACTACTACTACTACTACTACTACTACTACTACTACTTTTTTATGGCCTCCAGCCTCCCCCAATAGCCACACCTTCGCCGCCATTTTATTACCTTAATATTAAATATCCTAATATATAAGTAGCTATCCTAGCTGTGTTGAGTTAGTTGAGCCGCAGGTCTATGAGGCATTCAGGTACTGTTGCCTCATAGTCAATATCTGCACACACACACACACTACACACATATATATACTATATATATACTATATATATATATATATATATATATATATATATATATATATATATATATATATATATAATATATATATACTGCATAATACCCAAAACAAATGTATGTCAGGCTGGAGAGTGTATTTCATTCAGCTGGACTCAACTGCCCAGAGGTCTAGAGGATTTTGCTTTCACTCTCCTTTGTCTCATGTAAAGTTCTTGTTGTGTTCTTATTATCTCTTTGGAGAGTTACTCATAAACCTGAACGGTGTTTCTCTAAGCACTTGTCTCTTTTCACATGTTTTATTAATAAGTTTGTGAATGTAATATTCATTCAATGTTTGTCTACCTGCAAAAGTATCTATAGATCATATACTTTTTGAAGCTCCAGCTGGGTGTAACTTACAAACTTTATTGTTTTACCTTGAATTAAATGTGATGAGATAATTATACCATTTGTTGTACTTGGTGTTCATCTAAATGCCTAAAGAGAAATTTGTTCCATTTACTAGACTACTACTTGTTCCAATCACCACAGTACTAGTGACTGATGACTGGAATTTTTTGTTCCAGTAACCTCAATACTATTAACTGGTAGCTGTTGTTCCAGGTACGACAATACTAACTCCTTTTAATTCTTGTACCAATCACCAAAATACGTGTGTGTGTGTGTGTGTGTGTGTGTGTGTGTGTGTGTGTGTGTGTGTGTGTGTGTGTGTGTGTGTGTGTGTGTGTGTGTGTGTGTGTGTGTGTGTGTGTGTGTGTGTGTGTGTGTGTGTGTGTGTGTGTGTGTGTGTGTGTGTGTGTGTGTGTGTGTGTGTGTGTTGTGGCGAAAGTGTGTATGAACATGTTATTCCAGTCACTTCAGATACTTGTGGTTCTTGTTCCAGTCACCACATCCGAAATGAATGACGACTCGGGGTATTATTTTCGGTCTGTGGTGCGGGTCCTCGGTGTAGTTCACCTTCACCACCAGACATGATCCTTATGGCTTAAATAGCAAGTGAGAGGCCGTGAGAATAACTAGGTGCGAATTGGTGACAGAGTGTGTGTGTTGTGATGGAGAGTGTGTTGTGATGGAGAGTGTGTTGTGATGTAGAGTGTGTTGTGATGGAGAGTGTGTTGTGATGGAGAGTGTGTTGTGACGGAGTGTGTGTTGTAATGTAGAGTGTGTTGTGATGGAATTATGTTGTGATAGAGAATCTTGTGATGGAGTGTGTGTGTGTGTGTGTGTGTGTGTGTGTGTGTGATGGACATTCAACACGCAATCATTACACAACAATTAAAAAATAATTCTCTCCTTCATAATATATAATTGTTGATGATTAGTGTGATTAAATAGAGTATACACACTTAACGATCTCAAAAGCTGAAACACAGACGAAACAACCACTAAAGAGATATGTTAATTGTTACCTAACCAAACCTAAACTAGGAGCACTTACTAGTTACTCTTTGTTTTTAGTAAGACAATAGTAGTGACCTATCAGTTGCTCTTGTTCCAGAAATTATTTACTTTTGTTTCACCTACAACAACAACAACAACCACAACAATTAACAACACCACAATATTATCCACGAGTAATTTCAGAAGAACAATTTTACTCGTCATGGCTTAGCTCAATACCTGAAGAATCCCGGGCAGTATTAATGCTGACCCACAAATAAGACGAGTCACTGTTGCTCTCTCCGGCTAGGTGACGAGGTAAGGATTTTTCTCGAGGTCACAGCCAAGTTGAATTACGTGAAGATTAAACGCTCACCTTATTTCACCTGATGATTAAATACTCTAAAGCTACTTGGAGAGGTTAGGTTATATTAGGGCAAGTTAGGTTTATGTTAGGTTAGATTACTGGAGGTCAAGTTAGGTTAGGTTGGATTAGGTCAAGTTATGTTTGTTTATGTTAAGATTAGATTAAGTTAGGTTAGCATTAGGGTGGTTAATGTGGTAAAATAATCCCGAGTGCCTAATCTTCACGTGATTCAACACATTCAGATTTTATCCTATGTACTTGTTTGCCCTCACACGTCTTTTCCACAAGTCACGCCTCATGATATCAATAAGCACCTACTAACATTCATTTTAGTTAAGAATCAAGTTAGTTCACCCGGTCAGTACTCTTCACCGCCTCCAGAGCTTATTACTGGTGTGTAGAATCTTTACAATAACCCATGGTAGAATTAGCTTAATCCCTAATTTCCTAGTTATCTCTACATCCTTCTGTTCTTAATCTTTCATCTCTTCCTATCTTTCTTTCTCCCGTCAGCTTTATCTTGGGTTTGTTCACTCACGATCAGCTCCAGCTTAAGCTTTTAAATTTTTCATTAAATCTTACCTAAACCTGTTACATCTACCCCTCCCTAACTGTGCTAATCCACCACTGAAATTATTATTTTTAGTCACTCAATACACACAGCATAAACTAGTTGACTCACTCTTCTGGCACACTTACACACGAACTCAGGGCAGAAAAACATATTGTTGATGATCTCACGCACTCAGTCGTACAGCCAACTAGAATTCCTGACTGCCTGGTGACTAGGCAAGTATCCGATCTGGTGCTCACGACACATCCAGACACTTATACTTTTAACTGCGTCATCTCCTCCAAGTTCTTCAGATTATTGTCTTGCTTTTGTTTCTTGATCTCTTGCCTATTGCCTCCGGCCTTCCCTCCCCTCTCAGCCCGTTTCTCCATCTCCTTCGAGACCACCCCCCCAGACTTGCACAACCTGACACAGACGGGTTAAAAGATGTTTGCTCTGGCTATAAGCAAACTCACTCACTTTTGACAACAACATTTCGCAAACTATTCAACTGTGTAAATTTTTTTGTTTAACTTTGCGTTTATGAATTAGCCTGGATCTCCGTCATCGCTTAGTCTAAACTAAACATGTACAAGCCTCTACAAGGACTTACAACACAATACATACATTACTGCTCTTAATCATGCCAAAAATACCATTACGATAAGGGAAAAAAAAACTTCTCTACAGGCCAAAGGAACTTACAATGTTATATCTTGTTGGGCATTAACCAAGTCATTGTACAAAGTTCTCTAACCTTGCACCCCACCTCGTTACTCCCTATCTCACAATAGGTAAGGTAATGTCAATATTCCCGGTTCTATGTGTACTGGGAATTAAACCCTCAGTCCTTCCAAGAACGTCTGCCCACCCCCTGCATCATATTCTTCTTATCTTATGTAACCGCCTAATTATCTTCACTATTGTATCTCTCCTCTTAAACTCATATGCACACGAATCTGTTTCTGTCATCTCAAAGTTATTTACCCTTTATTGTCGTTCTCTTATAGTCATTTGGTCTCGGGTATTAACAAATGTCTAACCAAGAGGTGATCCATCTTTCCCTTCCACACAGAGCCTCACAATTCTCACCTCAGTCGTCCCTAGTCATCGATTCTTCCAAAAAACGAACAAATAATAAAACTTTGAATAACATAATTTTTCCCTGATATCTAGTGAGGTATCTGTTCCACGTGTGGGCCTGACACTAAAACTATTTGCCTCATCAGTGGTAAACTCCTTGCTTTCCACTTCCCTTCTCTTCATGGCAGACGATCCATCTCTTCACTCTCTCTTCTGTTGGCATTTTCATGGTCAATGAGTCAAGTAAATCCAACACATTATCTTGTCTCCTTTTACTATTAGTCTTAAAACACACAACTGTTTGTCACACTTCACGTACTTCTTCTATGTTTGATTCTGTCTAATGACCTCATTATATTCTCCTTTTCTTCCTTAATGAATTTTCCCTCTCTTCACACTTCTTCTTCACACACTTCTTAACAGGGACGTGGTAGTTTGATATTCTTCTTCCCTCTTGTTCTTGATATTCTTTCCTCTTCTTGTTTTTTGGTGATAAAGGAATAAGGAGAAATACACTGGACATCAACAATACATAATTTACACGGATCACCAGATGACACCCTTGCTTATTTCGCATGGAGAGTAATCACCCTAATGCTAACCTAACGCAACCAACCTAACCTAACCAAACCTAACCTGGTCTAACCTAACTTAACTTAACCTAACCAAATCTAACCTAGTCTAACCTAATTTAACGTAACCAACCCTAAGATATCCTAATCTATTCAACCAATCAACTCCAACCCCCTAACTAACCTAGTTCAATTCCAATCCTAACTCCACAACCGTAATCTAACCTACTCAATCCTAACCTAACCAACCTAATTTAAATTAATCTAACCCTATCTAACCTAACCTAACCTCCCAGGCAGCTTTCGGTGAATTAACTGGGGTGTCTAAACTTCAGGTGATCCTAATATGCTTATTTTGTAAATGAGAAGCATAATGAGACCCACATGACAATTAGATATTCTATGCTAATTAGGCGTTAGGTTTGGTTGTGTGAGGTTAGGTTACGTTACCATTAGTTTAGTTTAGCTTTGTTTAGGTTAGTGGTAGGTCAGGTTAGTGGTAGGTCAGGTTAGTGGTAGGTCAGGTTAGTGGTAGGTCAGGTTAGTGTTAGATCAGGTTAGTGGTAGATCGGGTTAGTTAACCAGGTTAGGTTGAGTGGTAGGTCAGGTTAGTGGTAGGTCAGGTTAGTGGTAGGTCCCATGGGTTAGTGGTGGTCAGGTTAAGTGGTAGGTCAGGTTGAGTGGTAGGTCCCGAGGTTGGTGGTAGGTCAGGTTAGTGGTAGGTCAGGTTAGGGAATTA